GTGGTATAGTTTATTTCACTTTCCTTAAAGCTTAAAGAGTTAACAGATTTCTTCTATCTTACGTGAGGGGCACTTCTGCAGTTCTGTTAGCACTCTATCCCTGGAGATGTTCAAGAACTATGGAGATGTGGAACTTCAGGATGTGGTCAGTGGGCATGGTGGGGGTGAGTTGGGGTTGGGCCTGGGGAGCTGGGAGGACTTGTCCAACCTCAATCATTCTATGATCGTATTTTATGCTTTGAATTGACTGTGACATTTATTTCTGCACCCCCAAACTGGTGTGCTCTGGTTCCCCTCTGGTATTACAGACCCTGGCTGCTGTGCTACCTTTCTTCTCAAAGTTTCTACGAAATGCGCAACCAAAATTCCCATATGCTGAACTATGTCAGCATGCACTGAACTTTAATCACTATAATAAACACAATTTTCATTTATATTTTTCCGTATAAGTTAGATCTTGCCTACACACAGGCTTGCACCGTTTAATTACAGAGATTTAAACAATATAAACCCTTTCCTGGATGTACTCATTACAAAGCTAAGTTCCAACTCATTCTCAACAAGCTCAGCAGCTGGGCTTACACAAATGGGAGAGCACCTGCACCAAGGCTTGCCCATTCAGACAGACAGGTCATTAATCCCCACCTAAAATCAGCCAGAGCCAGCTGAGTGCTGACAGCTTCACCAGTTATTTTCTGACCACAAGTCCTAGGAAAACGTTCTAGATCTTTTTTTCCTAGAATCTTAGGATCACAGAACCACTAACGTTGGAAAAGACCTCTTAGATCGTCTAGCCCAACTATCAACCCACCCCCACCATGCTTGCTCATCATGTCCCCAAGGTTCTATGATTCTACCAGTGGGCACAGTAGGGATGAGTTGGCTTTACACTCGGTGATGATCTTATTGATCTTTGCCAACCTTAACAATTCTATGATTCTGCCACTCTGAAGCAAGCATCAAAAAACACTCACAGGGCACCAAGGACATCAGGACTCTGGAAACAGAACTCCCATGACAATGTACTGATTTTTGCTTGGTGGTGCCATGATGATTAGGGATTTCTTCTCCATGAAACAAACAGAAGTTGAAGGAGTTGGAAGTGCAGTGCTGACAGAAAGGCAAACCTATGAGAAAACCTTATAGCACGTAGTGCAAAGCTTGTTCTGCCCAGACTGAAGGCATTTGCCTGTGCTTTTTTTAATTATTCTGTGAAATTTTAATGCTGTGAAAGGAGAATGCACTTCAATATTAGATTTTGTGACATGGCAAAAGGGTGTGAGCTGATAGCATGACAGCTGCTAACATCAGGAACACACAACAGCATGCACAGCTACGACAGAAGTACCAACTGACACAGGAGGCAAGGAAGTGGGTTGGTGGTTGGACTCGATGATCTTGGAGATCTTTTCCAACCTTAACAATTCTGCGATTCTAGGAAGCAGGGAAAAAAAACAAAACAACAAAACAACAAAAGCATCTCAAACTACGTTCATGACCATGAGGGCTCTGATTAAACCGGTACAGCTGGTGGGATGTTCTCTTTTGTGAAAATGTGGCCTTCTGACTGCCATCAGTCCATGAACCCAAATGTCAGCCTCCAGCCAGCAGCTGGCATTGCAAACGAGCTTTCCCACGTGCTGCAGAAGAGCAGTTATCTGCTGGCTGCTCCCTTGAAACCCCGAGATAACAGGCAGGCTCCAGGCACCGCTGTGCTGCTCTCACGCCGAAAGCACACACACACTGCACCAAAGGGAGGAAAGGCAGCCTGAGAACTTCACAAAATAAAAATAAAGGAGACCAATTTTCACCTATCACTGTGATCTCTAAATTGCCTTTAATAAGCTCTGCAATAAAGCAGGGAGCCTGGGATGCGGCTACTCATCCGCGAGGAGACAGCCCTATCTCCAAACCACGGCTGCTGCTCTGTCCCAGGCACATCAACTGCATTTATCTCCTCCTACATACCAAAGAGAAACGAGCAGCTCTTGATTTCAGCACCTGCCCTTTATCTCTGTGTTTTTGGAAAAATCTTCTACAAGGCTAATTATCCAGCTTGGACTTTCTGTGCCTTCCGCAGCACAGAGCTAAAAGCTTAAAATAACATTCATTTGTCTTCCACTGTAGTCGTGTTTGCTCCAGGACTGAAAGGAAAACACGACTTGCATCCCTCATCTCCCTACAGTTGTTTGCAGACACAGGCCCACATACATGACCTGCTGCTAACACACATGTCCTTTTGTCACACAGTGTTTCCCTCAGGGAAAGGAGCACTGGGGTGTGCTATCACACTGATAAGCTCCATTATGCAGATTGAGATCATGGTGGTGAGTGCAGTTATTTTTAGGTTACCTTTACTCAGACTCCAGATCTGAATGCACAGAACGCCTCTTGAATGCTCACTTCCTCAACAAAAGCCAAGATAAGCAGCAGGAAAACATTCACTGTATTTATCCTGTGCATAAATTGAGTACACATACATGAGAAAAAGTACCATTGTTTGGGTTGCAGAGAAGCAAGGGAGTTAAAACACTGCTACACTGCTTGTTTTTCCAAATGAGGACCTCCAGCACATCCTCCAAAGAGCTTAAGTTGAAGATGGCAATTTCTAGGAAGCAGCAAAATCATAGAATTGTCAAGTTGGAAAAGACCTCTAAGATGACCACAGAGATCACCTAGTCCAATCTAGACTTAGAATCAACCACGTAGAAACACTACTCCTTTAGAGCACCTGAGCACCCAAAGGGAGATGGGGAAAGGCCTGAGAGTATGAGCAATGGAGCGTGAGCAGTGGCCAAGGTCCCTTGGTTTAAGGGGAGGTCTCATGGTGGCCTGCAGCTCCCATACAGCCCTACAGCCCCCCATGGCCCTTAAGCTCCCTTGTGCCCTACAGCTGCCAGAGCTCACGAAACATCTGTACTCTGCTCTGAGCCATAGGGTTTGAGTTTAGGTAGTGCTGTGTAAAGCCAGGGATTGGACTCAGTGATCCCTGTGGTCACCTTCTAACTTGGGACATTCTGTGATTCTGTGAAAAAGCAACGGCCTGAAAATTACTTAGTAATTAACTGAAAAGCTGATCCAAAAACTCTCAGGACTAAACTCCATCACTCTGCACTCTGTAAATCCACGTGGGTCATGTCAACCCTAATGCAACCCATCATTCCTCCATACATTCCTGAAGTTGTCTTGATAGCAGCCAGCTCCCTGAATTCACTTCCCTGAGCTAGCCATGCCCAAACCAAAGTCTTTTAGAGAAATGTCCTTCAATAGGCATCGTTGGTTGGTCCATGCAGCAAGACAGCCTCCAGCTCACACATGGGAGCTCACTGAGCCCATTGTGCATTGAGCCAATGTGGGTAGGGCTTCTCCACCCATCCAGACATGCCCAGAGTGTCATTACAGACACGAGGATTAAAGCTTTCTCCTCTATTTAGCTGCTGAAATTCCTCGGAGCTGCCAGCACTATTGTGCAACTCTATCTTTAGTCTGATCTTACTGTGGTTTTGTTAAGCTTTGGAAGAGCTTCCCCTTGAAACCTCAGAGACTGCAATAGGAAGACCTGGGAAACGGGGAGACTTGGAAGACCCCTACAAGAGAAGGGCAGATAGCACTAAGGCTCACCATGTGATGTCTACAGAGGGGAACTGAGTGCTATCCAATAGCAATGTTATTACAGAGAAAGGGAATTTGTGCCTCTACAGATTAATGCAGCAGTTACAGATGCAGGTCAGTGTCACCAGCTTTCTTCAGGCAAGAAAGCAACCAATGAAAGACCAAACCATTGGTGCACACAATGTAAACTTGAGGGGATTTCACTCCTGAAACAACACTTCCATAAATTGTGGCCTAACACGAAAGTCCATTCTTCTTTTCTTTTTTTTTTTTTTTCTTAAGCAACAAACTCATTTAGTAATGGCTCTGTCAGCAGGTCAGCAGTCACTGTAGTCCCATAACAAAAGAGCTTTCAATTATTTGCACGTATGAAAATGCTGTCACAAAAAAGCAGCCCATTTCTTCCAAAGTAACTCAGCCTGGCCGAGTCACTGCACACACTGCCTCAGGGACGCTGGGAGCTGCAGGAAAGACACCATGCATGCAGCCAGCTGGACAATTCCCACGGGGCATTTCAGGATTACCAGGGTATAAACTAATTACTGCCATTGCCAGTGGCCACGTGTACTCTGCACTTCTCATCAGATGGCAGTTTCCTGAAGTTATCACAAAAAAACAAGGATTGAGAAGACACTCCTGCTCTCTTATCACAGAGTAAGAACAGAAATGGCTCTGCAGAGACCAGGAAGTATTTAAAACATTCTTGGCACAGTGAAGAAGCAAACACTGTTGTTTGTGTTAAAAAATAAAATAAAATAAAATAACAAACAACAAAACACCATATTGCTCCCATTTACTGCCTTACCCACCTGCACAGATTTTATCACAGCATTTAAGCACCACGCAGCCCATCATGGATTTCAGCCTCACAAAACCCATTGAGGCACTGAATCCCTCCTGGATCTGAGGCTCTCAGAAGACCCTGGAGGCTCTGCTCAGGATTACATACAGCTTATCACTGCACTGACCAGCCTGAACTGATTTCCAGTGGGATGGTTTATCCATAACTCAAGACTGAAGCCCCCAGAATTCATCTGCGTACCATTTTATACAGACCACATGGAGACGTGGAACACCGAGGAAAGAATGTGCCAGTAAAAATGAGGATGATGACAGCCTCGTTACATCTGAATGGGCAGAGAAGTGAGACCACACGTAACAGATACGATGAAGAACATCTCTGCCTCAGCAAATCCTACTTCCTCCACACTTCAATTTAATGACTGATCAAGAAAATTCACCCCAACATTTAGCACAAACCAGCGTATAATTAAACCACACAGATATTGCGATCAACCACGGAGTCCCTCATCCACTGCTACAGATACAAAGTGTGTGTATGTAATTAACTGGAATAGCATATGCTAGCTGATGAGCCGAGCACTTACCCTGAGCCTGTCCTTGGGCAAAGCCACAGCTCCCTGCTTGATGATCTCCAGAACGCGCTCCACCGACAGGTCAGCTCCGGCGTGCTCCAACCGGGAGCTGAAGAAACTGATCACCTGTGATGGAGAATCAGAGCACGTCAGCAAACAGGAGGGATCTCTGTATCGATATACACACAAAGCCATTGCTTTCTTCTCCTGGGTTGATGTCTCTGCACTTCTCAGAGCAGTATGCTATTGCTGGGCCATCATTAGGTACACTCCGTGGATGAGACACTGGCCTAACTGTCAGTGTTCTGCAGGTATTTTTAAGGGGTAGATGAATTCACTGTTGAACACATTCAGCTGAATTAGTCAAATAAGGCTTTCAAACACTGCACACATCAACATTCTTCAGCTCTTACCTTTCTCACGCACACGGGACTTTCAAGGCATTCCCGTTGACTTTTTGTAGTTTGGGCCAGAAATTTACTCTAGTTTTCAAGTATTGAAGCAAAACTCCTGTATTTACAATATCTACTCAACAGAGGACTCGAGAGCACCCATTAAACAACTTCAAGGGTCTACAGGACTCACTTGGTGATTTTGTAGCATCCAAACCCATGGCAACTGGAAAAAAAAAGCAAACCCACAAAGCTGCCCTTCTCCCCAAATGAGAGCCATCCTTCATGAGGCAAATCCCAGGACCTATACACTCCCTCTCAGTGTTCTCCTGCATTTCTCCCTAAAGAGGCCAAGCTGATCTTCCCCAGGCATCCCCCTCAGCACTGCTTTTGCATCCCAGCTGATCCTTGTAAGCACGCCACAGTTGGGTCAGATCAACTTTCATCCCTCTCTAAGCCCAATAAGTCACAACAGCAGCCAACATCCCACCAGCGGTTCTCCACTGGGGACATGAGAAACCTGCCCTTCCAGAGCTCCTTTCATTGCAAAAGAGCACACTTTGGGAACCCCATCTCCTCTTCTAGAGGAGATCTGAATGATGGATATGGGGCAAAACTTAAATCCCTCAGGTTGTTAGAAGGCCCCATAGGATGGTTGGAGCCATTTTGCACTGTCCTTGGCACCTGGTTGGAGCCATGCACAGCACCCACTGTCTGCACACACTGCTGTTAGGTTTCCTGACTTGTAGCCTTGTCTGCAAAGTGGCAGTGCCCACAGGTGCCCAAATTACAGCCTCGTCACACCAACTAATCTCTGCTAATAGTCCCAAGTAAAAGGGGGAAAAGTATATTGGCTGCAAAATCTATTTGTTCTGCAGCAACTGGCAGCTGGAGCCAGAACCCATTACCCTAATTGCACCTCCTAGCTCAGCTGCTGCTCACAAAACAAAGGCAGCTGATGGCATGACTGCTTTGTGATTTGGGCTTGTTGGTCCTCTCTTGCAATTCCAAAGCACTAGCCCTCTTTTTGGGCAGCTGGATCTCAGAGCAACTTTCTCTAGATACTGTGAAACAACTGAGTGGAACAGGGAGAGATGTTTTGGTTCTGTTTTATACAACAGAAACACAGCAATCATTCGATGAAAAATACAGGCTTGACCTGCTTGGCTCTCTTGATATTGCCATGGTAGAGTAAGGCAAGAATCCCCTTCCCCTGGCTGATGCAGCAAGGTTTGCATCCTTACAGGCAGGGACGGACTGCAGAGCTGTTGATTGTTAGTCCTTGCAAAAAGCAATGGGGTAGGAAGATTGCTGAGTTCAGATGTAAAGGTTTTGATAAACCATAAAGGCAAAAATTAGTGTTAGGCTTTAATCGGAAGGATAAAACACAATCATCAAATGCATACATAAAAAATGAAGGGAGCTTGCAGATGCTATCTGAAATCTGGTGGCTCCTATTTTAGGAAGCCAAATGCTCCACTCTGGGCCATGTTTTAAAGATTTCTAGTGTTTTAGAGTTACAGATGTTATAGTCCAGAGAGCTCCCAATATTTGCACAGCATGTTACAATTACACAGAATTCTGAACTGCTTTTTTTGATGTGTAGACTGAAATTAAAAATATCCCCTTAAATAATAATACACATCTCTAATCTTTGTCTTTCTTCTTCAGACAAAATGGAACTGGAGTTCCATATCGAGTTCTTTCTAATCCTGATAGCACGGTACTGCAATGAGATATGGTTTAAAAGCATATCTTTTACATGGAGAAAAGCAAGAGATGTGTGATAGACAGGATATCCCAGAAGAGGCATTTGCTTATTGCCATTATATGCAAAGGCACCCAGCGTGACTACCACCCCTGTATGAACCAGAGGATGTGGCAGGGTGGAAGAGGAGTCAGCTGAATGCCATTTCTTATTCAGATCTGCAAGCCTGAGAGCTTCCAGCACTTGCCAACTGGTGACAGGTATATTCTTTAGAAAATCTTTTTTTTTTTTTTACATCCTTGCTTCTGTAACAAAGGAGCTATTTAAAAAGGCAGTGTGCTCCCTTGGAAAGCTTAAAATAGTTTTAGAATGTAATTGGTGTTATGCTGTAACCCTGTATTAAATACATTTGGGGAGGAACTGTAACTGTTTAAATTGCTGAGGAAAACCTACATTTAGCTGTAACAAAGGAAAGGGCACGCTGCTTTCTGTGGGAGGCTGGCAGGTGGAAGGACCTGGCCACCAGGGTTTGACTGGTTCTGGACAAGCAGAAGAGGTCTCTATCTGCCATAGAATCACAAAATGACTGGATTGGAAGGGAACTTAATGATCACAGAACTACTGAATGGCTGAGTTGGATGGGACCCTAAAGTTCCCCAGACCCACCCCTGCTGTGGGCTGGCTTCCCCCAACAGGTCAGGCTGCCCAGGGTCCTGTATGGCCTGGGACACCTCCAGGGATGGGGCACCCACAGCTTTTTGGGCAGTGGAGCTCTAAGTGAGGATTCACCACTCTGAATGAGGAGTTTCCTCCTCACATCTGACCTAAATCTTCCCTCTTTTAGTTTAAAACTCCCAAATCCTTCTCCACAGGGCTGCTCTCAGTGAGTTCTTCTCCCAGTCTGTACTCACCTGGGATTGCCCTGACACAGCACCCTGCACTTGGCCTTGCTGAACCTCATTAGGTTCATGTGGGCCTGCTTTTCAAGCCTGTCCAGGTCCCTCTGGATGACACCTCTTCCCTCTGCTGTGTCAGCTGCACCACTCAGCTTGGTGTCATCTGCAAACTGCTGAGACTGCACTCCATCACCTGTGTCACTCTTAAAGATGCTAAAGAGCACCAGTTCCAAGCAGACCCCTGAGGGAACCACTCATCACTGCACCCACCTGGATGTAGAGCCACTCACTGCAGCTCTCTGGTTGCAACCATCCAACCAATTCTTTATCCTCCAAATAGTCCAGTCCTTCGAACCCGTTTCTCTCCAATTTAGAGATAAGAGTCAACATAGAGTGGACAGGTATTTCCCACCTCCAAAAAGAATAAAAAGGTCAAATAAAGAAGCATACGCAGCCCCGAAATAAGGGATCACCCACCAGATCTATGTTCTGCATGATGTCCTGGAAGGAGGGATGGGTCCGGAATTGCTCAAACAGATCGCGCTTGTAGAGCAGCGCGTACACCAGGTTGGGGTTGTGGTGGAGGGAGTTGGTCAGGCAGGAGTTGATGATCTCCAGCATCATCCGGATCACCTCCTCAATCACATTCAGGTCTTGTGCCTGCAAGAAAGAAAGGAAGGTGAGTGTGCCCTTTTCCATTGTAAAACACATTGGTTAACAAGGACAGTTCACAGCGACCATTACTAACAGAGCTATTGGCTGGTCGGTGTCTCAATGGTGAGCTAATCCAGCGTCCCTGAGTCCTGGCAAAGAGATCTGTTTTCTCCTGAAATCACCAAAATTTTATCTGAAATGCACAGTGTTCAGCCGCATGGCTTTCTTCTCTCAGCCGGAGCCACTGCTCGTCCCAGTGAGCAAATATTGTAACCAAATTCATTGAGGGTTAAGCAATCTTGGTCTTCCAACATATCAGCATACATTAAATTCAACACATTTTATGTTTGGTCCGTGTCAGAGAGGAATAAGGTCCCTCCAGCACATCAAACAACAGGCTGCGAGACCCTACAGGGTTGCCAGGAATGTGAATCGCATCAACAGTTGAGTTTTTTGTGTGGTAGGAGCACTGAAACCATTGGCATCTACTCTTACTACTTGCAAAGCAGTCATTTTCTGAGTTATCACTCAGAAGAGGCATGTAAGTACCTCATAATGAGGCCATGCTTGTGACAGATTTCTGTTGGACTCACAGGAACATTAGGATTGGAAAAAACCTCTGCAGTCATCGAGTCAAACCCCAAATCATCCCCTCCATGCCCGCTTTGAAAACTGTTTAGCAATGCTGCCTGTCTCACTGTGGAGGTTATAGACTCCTTCCTGCATGTGAGGATCTCCTTTTTCAAGACCCAGCCTCAACCACTGGAATTACTGCTGTGCTGACACTAACAGTGCTGGCAGAAACCCTCACAAACCAATCACTGCAACTTCACCTGTCCATAGGATTGCATTCTCCTTTGACTGAAGCAGTTCAGAACACAGGTGGGTCCTCTGTAGCCTTCTAGTTTGAATGCTGTGAAATAGCATCCCACTTAGATGCCATTAAATGCAAATAATGCAAAGTACTGGACAAAACCTGGAACAGCTGCTTCAGCTGGAATTTGAAGAAAAACCAAGATCAGCTTAACTCACAGGTCAAGCAGAATCTGCCCATGGACTGGCAGTTATTTCACAATAAGGTATGTTATGGTGGCTTTCAAGAAGCTCTGAGCAGTGCTTTAGCTCACTTTTCAACACAGCAGGATGACCCAGTGACTGAGATACGATCCTAAAACACATAGGATGTTTACAAATCTACAGCCCTGTGTATCTCCCCTACACAGTGGGAACACAAAGCAAGGATGCTTCCCAAAATCACCAGGTTGGCAGCACGCGCACATATGAAAAGAGAAACTCTCCCACCACTGTAGTACAGGTGCTCTTACAAGCATCTGAAACCAGATGTTAAAGTTAAAAGGATGCTTCCCTTCACTGAAGGCTGTAAGTCACTCAGAGCTGTTCAGCTGTTGAACAGCCGTCCCTGTGGTCTAAGAGCACCTTGCACAAGGAATGGGATTTGCTAAGAACGAGCTCCAAAAAAACAGACGCGGGACTGAATCTCAGCATCATTATCTGTAGAGCTGCATGCTCCTATAGTTAGCGATTACAGAAGAATCTGCAAAGGCTTACAAGTTTCCAAAACAGGCGAAAACAAGCAGAAAGCTTAGGATGAGACAAGAGAAATGCTGGAAGAGCAGATAAATGCTGTGTGCGTTTGTTGCTCTGCGTCTGCAGTATCAGGGGATGACACCTCCACATGCAGACACTGCGCCAGGACAGATAGAATGAAGGTTACAAAAACATCTTGCTCTTGGAGAAAAAAAAAGTTCATTGCCCTGCAGATTGATTCCCTGAGCACAGCTGAAATGCAGAACACGGATGGCTAAGGCATCAGCACAACAACCCTGCAGCAATATTGCTGCACAGGCTGCTATAGGAAAAGCCAGATATTGATGTTGGAGAGGACAGGTAGGTGAGTTTCTATCTATTAAGCAGCAGTTAGAAGTAGTAGCACTTTCCCCCATTGCTTGTAATTGACAAATTCATGCACTATTCACACTGCAAATAATTGCAGTATTCCTTTACCAAACAGCTCTCAGGATGATGCCTGCAATGACTGCAAGTCTGCCCCATTTTTTTTTTGTTTGTTTGTTTATGCCTTTAGAGATAATTATGTCCACCATTACAGGAAATGTGGAAGCTATGGGCTGATTGCCAACTTTCTGAGATGGAAGCCCAAAAGAAATGTAAATTTCCATCTGAGATGGAAACCTCCATAAGAGTGGGAAGGAGACGCAGGCACAGCGCTGCCATTACTGCTGGTAACCACAGACAAACCCTCATGTTTTCTCTTATGGGTAGAAATTAAATGTAATCACTTCTCACAAATATCCCCATTTTCCAACAGAAGGAACTAGGCAAAAGGCAGAAGCCTGCTCGTGTTCTGGCTGCACGTGGAGCAAGGCAGCAGCCACAGGCAGAGAGCAGCCTCACCAATGGCTGTGTGTCTCTACATTACTCTTCTGACCATGCTGTTATATCCCCATCGCAGATAAAGATGAGCCAGGCACAGTTCTGGGCTGCCTGTGCCTCTTTGTTAGAAGAAAAAGGAACAAACAAGTGATAGTGGCTGCCTGGAAACAGGCTGACACAATACAGAGGGAAACACAATGAGGGCAGAAATGAGAATGTAATCTGCAAACAAAGAACAAAAACAAACAACAAGAAACCAAAACCCATACCCCAAAATGTGAGTTTGATAAACACTAACAGAAAACACACTGATTGGAAGCAAAAAACTAAGGCAACTCCTGGGGAGAGCTGGAGCAATCCTGAAATACCACTGCTGTCCTTACTGAAATACAATAAAATAGGTAATGATGTCCTGATTCCAGAGAATTCAAAGGCAACTCTCCAGCTTCTCAGTGTTGATCATCCTTAGGAGAAAAAAGGAGGGCTGTCCACGTGGCATTCAGGTTGGATTTGGCAGACTGCTCGTGGCTGTGCTGCCATGCCAATGAGAGAATACCGAGAGGAAAGGTGGAATGAAGGTTGCGGCCTTACACTGAATGGCCCTTCTCCAGGTCCATGACAACACATGTAATAGCTTAAATGAGATTCTGTCCCCTCTACTTTAGTGGCATGTATGCAGCACAATAGTCTTGGTTTGTTTACATCAAACCAAGACAGCTTTTGGCCATAACGTTGAACGGTGGGAAAGTTCGGTATTGAGAGAGAAAATTTAGGGTTTGCACGGAAGCAAAACAGAACCATTCCTCAAAACTGAACTCAGTTTTGTCAAGCCATCCCATTTATAGCAGGAAAGTATCAAGCTGTTTCTGAGGACATGCAGGTACCTGCATGAAGTCGCAACTCTGCAACTCTTTTACAAGAACACCCCATGCAACCTCATGCTTCTGCTCCTTTATAGGCAGTCTGTACCCAGCCCACTGCTCATCACCTGGCTACTTCTTCACTTCTTCCTTTTGTGCACTTGCTCTTTCAAAAGAGTGCTAAAACTCTTCACACTGAAATACTTTAATTGATCCCAGGAAGTCGGGCTCCCAAGTCAATCTGAAGTTTCTAGACACTGGCCTAGAATGCTGTGTTTCCTAAGCTATTCTGTTAGTAGGCCTTCTCTACTTTCAAAGGAAAGATGAAGCACTCAGACGGACCCTAATTGATGACACAGCACTGAAGTGATGGACACACTCTGACCTTGGCATTTTTCTTAGACTGGGATTCAGTAAGGCAACTGCAGAAGGTGTTTTATGATGAAGAACTTTAGATAGTCCCGCTTTCTAGCATTTCATCCCAGCCCAGCACCTGGGCTTTTGATTCCAAACTCCATTTTTGGGAACCTCCCATCTAATCCCAATGCTGAATTCCATGCTGGAAAGCCAAGGGTTGGAAAGCTTCCTTCTCCAGTGATTTGCAGATGCCAAAATGACAAATTTTGACAGGTCCTGTAAAACCTGGGAGGAAACCATCACTGGGAAAAAAGGCAATGATGATATTCATACTGTAGAAAATCCAAGTTAAACCTGTGAATCAGTATTGTTCTCAAATCACACTTGAAATAAGGTGAAGTCTTCTTGTTGCTGAAAGGAAAAGTTCTCCCTAAAGATTTTCTACTTCTCCTTGAAATGAAGAAGATGAAGGCCACGGTTAGGGCTATGTGGGGATGGGTTGGGGTTGGATCTGGTGATCCTGGAAGTCTTTTCCAGGCTCTATGATTCTGTGATTCTACGATTCAGTATTCCCTAGAGGTATGCGAAGATGCTGTTTAGTTTGACTGGTAGAACAGGAAAGGATGAGTTTCACGTGAAACCCCACCTCCACCATCCGAGGGCAGGCAGATAATTGTGATACAGGCTTTAATTAACAGAACCTGTCTATCCTGAGCAGAGTTCATGGACTTTAAAGAAGTTACTCAAATGAAAAAGTTTCTTATTCCAGCACTCCACATCCAACATAGCTGTAAATTGTCACCAGGAGAGTTGTTGGGAGGTTTTATGCAATAACTACTGCTGCACGAACTGAAACTCTGACACTTCCTGATTTGTTCTTTAAATTGCACAGCAGGTCTTATGTAATGTCCACATCAAGTCTCACATTTTTGCATTTAATATGTAAGCTTTACTTAATGAACTGCCTAGACCTAAAAGCTTGCTCCTTGAAGATGACTACTGACAAACCCCTTGGAAGCAAGTGATTCTCCAAAAAAGGAACACCCCACATTTTTTGCATTATTACCCTATGTGACACTGAGTTGAAGTACAGAAGCCCTTATTTCTATCAGGAAGAAGACAGAAAAGCGTAACATCTTGGAAAAAGGCAGCAAAGACCAATTAACAACTCCAACCAAACAGCTTTCACATTTTTCCTTCACACCACCCAAACCCTCCTCTGTGCAGTACAGCATACCAGTGTTTATGCATCACCTCTGACTATATCCTATAACATCAGCTATTTCCTTCACCCTTGCTACTGTATTAGGCAGTAACAACTATGGCACTCACTGCAACAGGTACATCTAAGAGTGTGTTTCTAATGAACTCATCACT